TACTTTTTTCAAAAAAAAGGAAAAAAACCCAAAAACAACCATATATACACACACACACGCATGCACGCACGCACGCACACACACACACACACACACACACACACACACACACAGCTAAAGCATAAAACACATAAAATGCAGAAAAAATGTGAATAAAACATTAAATAATTTATTTTACAATTAAATAATTGAAATTTTATAATTGTTAAACAAGTATATAAATTATAAAAAAATAAAACTAAAAATAAATTAGATATATCAATTAGATAAATAAAAATAACAAGATAAAACAAAATACAAAAAAAGCAAAAGAAAATGAAAATAAAACAAATAATTACTTTTAAAAGTATTAAATTAAATACAAATAAATAAAAAGAAAACTTTATTTCATGAGCATTATAGCATGAATCACTGCAAGCTGCATTCTTTTTACCTTTTGTTTTATTTGTTACCATAAAAAAAATCACAGCAAGGAGGTCGCTGGTTCGAGTGCCGGCTTGGTTAGTTGGCATTTCTGTGTGGAGTTTGCATGTTCTCTTAGTGTTGGTGTGGGTTTCCTCCGGGTGCTCCACAGTCCAAACACATGTGGTATAAGAGAATTAATGAACTAAATTGGCTGTAGTGTATGATTGTGTATGGGTGTTTCCCGGTACTGGGTTGCGGTTAGAAGGGCATGCACTGTGTAAAACATATGCTGGATAAGTTGGCGTTCCAGCATAATGACCACAGATTAATAAAGGGACTAAGCCGACAAGAGAACGAATGAATGAATGAGTTGGCGGTTCATTCTGCTGTGGTGACCCCCTGGAAAATAAAGACTAAGCCGAAGAAAAATGAATGAATATTATTAAGATAAAAAATATTATTACTAAGCAGATAAAATTACTCTTTTTATTTTTTGGAAGCGCTTACAAAGTGGTTTGGTTACACTAAAATTACAGCCAATGAGATGCTACGATGCAAATTTTTCAGAAAGTGCGACTGAAATTGTGTGCAATAACGAGGGAATAACTCCACTTTGAATTCTACAGGACTTTTACATTCACATAAAAAAAAATTACATATTTAAAAAGCATAACAGGGGCACTTTAAAGGGTACAGATTATGCAGAAAAAACTTTTATAAGGGGTTTAAACAGCTGTGTGTCAGCAGTGTGAGAATATATCCAGACTCTAATGGTAAACATGTATAAATTCTATTGTTTTTAATCAGACTTGATAAAAACAGTCTGCAGAAACACTTTGATTGACATTCTCGCTTTGTACGTGTCATGAGAGGGGTAAAAGCCCCACCCACTAGTGACCATCTCTCCTACATTAGCATAAACAGCCCTTAGAGAGAAGCAGCTATACTAATACATAGGCATCTGTAGCTCCGCCCTCTTCTGAAAAAGAGCACAATCTCATTTGAATTTAAAGCGACAGTCACCTAAAAGGGTCCGTTTCAGAGAGGTAGACAACATGATCTGCGTGGTATCTTTAGCTGAAAATTCACTACACACTCTAGGGCCACCAAAGACTTAATGTCATCTTGCAAAAAGGGGCATAATAGGTCTCCTTTAATAAACCTCAACCTTTTACAGCATTACATGCTTGTAGGTGAACCTGACCTACCAGATCGTCTTCTTTGTAGTGCATCTTGGACGTGTGGCGTCTCATGCTGTAGACGGTGAGGAGAAGATACATGAAGGCAAAAGATGTGTGCAGCCATAGGAGGTTATTCCTGGACAACACATAGAAAGACATGTAAATGTTTTACCCATAATCCTCACAGCACATCATGACCTGAGACTGGGATACAGCTTTCAGAATGTCTGCAATGTCTTACCCAGAATTCAAGTTGGCGATTGTTGTGCGTCCAAAGCTGTATGCGTTGTTCTCTGAGGACAAAAAACAGGACAAAAGAACAACTTCATTTCTGAGTCTGAAAGATAACAAAAGGGTCATTATTCGGAAAATAAGGGGCATTCTGTGTGCTGAACGCAGCCTGTGTGCCGAAATAAGCACTTTTTTCTTTTAAAATGATTAAATAAAAAATTACATGACTTTGTTTATTGCCACATCAGCAACATATGTAAATCCCATGACAAGATCAATAGATTAAATTAATTACATTATTATAACTTTAAATAATAACTTAAAAAATACATAAATATAATTTTTAATTTCAATAAAAAATTAATTAGATATGATTTTTCAGCTCAAAAAATGATAATCAACTCAAAATTCCAACAAAAAATAAAATACAATATATAAATAAAATGTTATATTTAAAAAATAAAAACATTAGATATGATGTTCAGGTCAATATAAGGTAAATAATTTTACATTCATATAATAAATAAATAAATAAATAAATAAATAAATAAATAAATTAATTAATTAATTAATTAAATAATTAATTAATTAATTAAGTACAACGTACAAAATACAATATAACACGATTTTCAATTTTACAATATAATTTTCAGATCAGTATATGATGAACAGAAAAAAGCAGACAATATTAATTTACTAAAATCTAAAATATATATACTGCATAAAGTACATAAAAATATAAAAAAAAGAAAAACACTAAAAAACAAAAATAAATAAAAACTAACAAACGGTGAATCACTGCAAAAATAAAAATAACAATAAAAAGTAAGCAAAAAAGAAGTAAATGTCTAATATAAATATATATATAGTTTAAGTCAGAATTATTAGCCCCCCTTTGATTTTTTCCCCAATTTTTTAAACACCATTTTAAGGACAATATTATTAGCCCCTTTAAGCTATATTTTTTCGATAGTCTACAGAACAATCCATCGTTATACAATAACTTAATTACCCTAACCTGCCTAGTTAACCTAGTTAAGCCTTTAAATGAAACTTTAAACTGTATAGAAGTGTCTTGAAGAATATCTAGTCTAATATTATGTGCTGTCATCATGGCAAAGAGAAAATAAATCAGTTATTAGAGATGAGTTATTAAAACTATTATGATTAGAAATGTGTTAAAGAAATCTGCTCTCCGTTAAACAGGAATTGGGGAAAAAGTAAGGATTTAAACCAGGGCTCTCAAACTGCCTAAATATATATACAGATAAAAAAAAAAAAATATATATATATATATATATATATATATATATATATATATATATATATATATATATATATATATATATATATATATATATATATATATATATATATATATATATATATATATATATATATATATATATATATATATATATATATATATATATATATATATATATATATATATATATATATATATATATATATATATATATATATATATATATATATATATATATATATATATATATATATATATATATATATA